TTTCTCTTAAGAGTTTCCTCTCAGAGTACATAAGTACATACAATAAATCGGATATATACTGGAGTGAAATTTATTTCTCAGAAATTCATAAATAACAAAGATAAGATCATATAAATTCACTGAAGAACAATAAACAAAAGAAAGGAGATGAATTGGCTCATGAAAAAATGTCAAAGAAAGTTTGAAAAAATAATGAAGTTAGGTAAAATTATTATTCACAATTTTTTTTTTTACTTAGAAAATATATCAATTGAAAAACTATTACAAAGAATAAAGTGGTTTGGTACAAAATAAATATATAGAAATAGAGTTTGTATATATTAAAAACAACCAGTTGGAAGATAGAGTGGAAGAAAGATCTACTTAAAATAGCAACAACAAATGATAAAACAAATGGGAATAAACTCACCTCTGGCTACATATTAGGATCATGGAGTGATTAACAAACAAAATAATATCAAAACAGTGCCGAGGCTGCCTCCCTCCTTGAATTCTAATTCAATTGGTGTGGGGTGGGGCCTATGTGGTTATTTTTTAAAGTCCCTACTTTTCAAAAATCTCTACAGAGAAACATCTATATGAAGAAAAACTGGAATACTATTGAGGGATATGAAAAAAAACTTGAATAAAGGGAAAAGCAGACTATATTCTTTAGAATAACTATCATAAAGAATTAAATTCTTTCTAAATTAGGCTATAAATTTACTCATTTCATAGAAAAGAGTAATAGGATTTTTCATTTTTGTAACTAAATAAACTTATTCTAAATTTGAATGGAAAAACTAAGTGAACAAGAGTAGCTAGGACAATTTTGAAAAAGAAAACTGTTGCAAAGGGACTAGTCCCAGCAGATATTGACTACCAGATTAATAAATAATATAGAACGGCCCAGTGCAAAATAAAATGTTCAGAGAAGGCATAAGTGTACATAGGACTTTTCCCCCATTCAAATCAATTGGGGAAAAGATAATTTATTCCATCAAAGGCGTTACATAATGAAGTGATATTTTTAAACAATGAGACAAAAGATAATTTACTCAATAAAAGGTTAATTGGGTAACCATTTAAAAGAAAGCTTAAAGTAAGATCTCTAATATGTAATATATTCCAGATGGGTCAAAGATCTAAAGGTGAAGAATAAAAATCTTAAAAGAGGTAAGTGGGAAAGACCATTCTAAATATGACACAAAATCCCAAAGCTACAAAAGCAAAGT